GAGACGCCGCGCTCGATCGTCCCTGTTGCTAAACTGGCGCGCTCGAAAATTTTCCTCTGCGAGAAAAATCGGACGGCAAATTTGTAGGATTGCGCAATCTTTTTTTAGGATGAAATTGATTTTATTTATTTATTTTTTTTTGCTACGAGTGATAACGTAAAAGAGTCGTTGTGGTAATTGTATTGCGCCGTAAAACCCAAAGCAGCTGCACTGCACAACTGGCACGAGGAGCCGCAGGAAAGTTGTAAGAAAGTTATGTACAACGTGCGCGAAGTAGAGTAAGACAAACTGGCAACTTTCGTGAGGTGTACGTGTTGCATTTCCGAGGAGGTGGGAATGTAATAAAGTCATAAAGGAGAGTGTAAAAAATGCTTGGAAAAGTAGAATGGGGAGCGCGCTGTGTTGAGAAAGAGAGAAAAAGTTTGGGCTGAGCTATGGGAGAAAGGCGGGGGTGGTGCTCACGTTGCATGCAGTGAAGAGTCCATTTGACTTTATGATGATGTGTACGCGGGCGCGAGTGACGAGACTAACGGGCATTTTAACGTGTACTCTCGTTAGAACAGGAAATAAAAGTTGAAGCAAATCGTTATGGAAATCAATGAATTAACGCTATTCAGTTTTTTTAGGGAATTTAGAATTAAATCGGCTTGGAAATTAATTTTTAAATTATCAAGTACTCAATTCTGAGCTGGAGTTTTTCTGGTTTTAAAAGCACTGTAATTTTTTTAGCAAACTGCATCGGCTGGAAATTTTTTTTTTTTATCTAAATTAGTTTCAATGATGCTTACAACAAGATAGTGATAAAATCACTGGCGCATGTTTCACATCAAAAATTTTTTAAAATGTATTTTACTTTTTTTTGGTAATTTTATGTCGTTACTGATAAAGAGATAACAATGAACTTTAGCGAAGTTTAGTTAGAAACACACGAGCGCTTCATTTGTGAAAAAAATGCCTGATGTCATTAGAATAAATTTTTCTCAACATTCTCGACTAAGTCTTGATATTAGCTTATCGGTTGAAGATGGTCTCTTATAAAATTCATGAGCAATATATTTTATAATGTAAAGGTCACATCACATCTAAAGAATAAAAGAAATTAAAATAACGATGAACATCTTCCTAAAATACATCAATTAAAAAAAAGAGTTCATCTGTATTTATTCACGAATGTTAACAGTTGTATCTCTCAAGAAGAAAATAAACGCTTGATATTTTTTGGACCCTGTCATGGGCAGCATAAAAACTTTCGTGGCTACCAACCAACTGGACCCTCATTTTACATGGAAGAAAAGTTTGATTTCAAGAGAAATTTCCCATAGGCGCACCAGCAAACGGTTGATTCCAAAGTCACCGCAGGAAGAAAACAAAAATTGGAGTATCTCGAGTAGGCTACAAAAACTAAAAGATGCCGATTTATGCAATCGACGCTCTAGAGTTGCAAGAAAAGAGAGAGAGGCCCAATTTGTTTCACATTCAATTACGTGTAACGAAAATAACAATGCATCCACAGCCACGGCTGTTGTATGGTTCTTTTATTCTGGGCTGCATAGATCGCATTTCTGTATGCACTTACGACCATTGATTCTAGATCCCTGAAATAGATCAATTACACGTGTGCTGGCAGGAGCGCTGAAAAGCAGAGCCTAGAAGACCAAGAAAAATATTTTCCTGCGAACGTTCGCAATTAATTCAAACCATCTTTTTATTCATTAAAAAGAGATCTGAGCCTAGCGAGTGAAGAAAGAGAGAGAGAGAGAGAGAGAGGAGTCGTAGCGTGTACATGTGTTATGCTTTCGAAATGATTAGACATGTGATCGAAATGTGGTTACGGAATCGCAGTCGACGGATGCTAGTGTATACACGTGTGTGGGTGACGGGGAGAGGGAGAAAAGGACGAAGAAGAAGAAGAAAGGGATTCTTCGCTCTCTGTACAACAATCACCGAGAAGCTATGTGTATGATGCACGTGCGTGGTGTTGCATCAATATTCCAGGCCACAGTCGTTTAACCTCTCTTTCTAACCTTCGTCTAAGGCATTCTTAGGTACCATATATTTTGCAGACCTATGCATTGAAATACCATAGAGCTTTTCTTGGAAAGGAATGAAAGTCTTCCAGGGTGATTTTTTTTTTTTTTTTTTTTTTTTTTTTTTTTTTTTTTTNTTTTTTTTTTTTTTTTTTTAGTAAACCAAAAAAGTAATCAACTAAAAATTAAATGCTTAATCTGTATTGTCTGTCTGACACTTTGTATTTTTACTTATAAAATGAATACACGTAAAGTGGCCAAACGGAAGGGTATACCCAATATTAAAACCATTATCATCGCCATTGCTATCGTTTGTATGCACCATATGACTCACTTTGTATCAAAGTTATTAAGTACCAGCAGCGAAAATTGCAGACTTCAATCTTTGGAAAGTGAAGTTGGCTCAACACCGAGAAAGTAAGTCTGTTGGTCTATGTGTACATCTACACTTTCACACACTTGCCTCTAACCCCTCATATGTATTTCCTTTAGAAGATCTGGCGTATCTTACTCTATACTTTATGTGCGCATATGTAGATTTGAAGGATCTCATTTGCAAAGGAGAAATTTGACTTGTATCCCATTATTTTTCTACGCACATTTCGTATGAATGTAAAAATAAAAATGAGATTTTTCAGGCACGAAAATCAGAGACAGTACCTGTAGTATGACCTGTAGTACTACAGTGTGATTATCAACACTGCAAATCGAATGATGTGCGTGCAAGTCCAAAAGAATTAGCTATGAATTTTTTTTGTGATACTACAAATATTAGTATAATGCATCATGTATGTTGTAAAGTCTTGTAAGTTATTTTATTTTTGTATCCAAAATACGTAGAACATTCTAATCTAGATAATTTTCCAAATGATGAAATACTTAAAAATGGACGAGAGTCTTTAACAAGTTTCGACTAAAAATGATAAATATTTTAGCTGTAATTTGGAGTAAAAGTTGTTTGTCAGCTTGAAAAAACAAAAAGCTGTCTACATACATTACAAAAATTCTGAAAAGTTACCACATCGCTTGAATGTTGAAAGAATTAATTTTAAATAAGCTCACATGACCTGCACGCGAAGTAGACTAACAATTTTGGAGTTGCCGTTATCGTCGTATAGTAGTTTTTAGTTTAAGCCAGTAATATTCCATTCTCTGAACTGTTAAGTTCCTTTTTTTCACTGACAACTTGTCGTAGTTATCTTTTGTCTTTTGTGATACGAGGCGAATAAATACCCTAAACATAACTTTCTGTTGGGCTGAACTTATTTCTAAGTACTGGTGAGTCGAAAAATGATCAAGTCTGTTTAATATAATTTTCAAATTATTCATCGATGTATTGTAAATCCAATAGTGGAATTAGAATTGTTACGTACTTACAAAATCCATAAAGTTCGTGTTGATAAGAGTTGGAAAAATTGTGGAATAAGATTTATTTTCAATTATTCTTTTGAGTTGAATAATATGTCTTTTGTGAAGGCCTCTTGCATATTGGAAATGCATTAAACAATTGGGTAAAGCTGATTGCATAGACGATGATGTGTGATTAGTTTGGTTGACATGCAGAAAAGAAGGTTTTCTTTAATATAAACTATGTTTCTTGGAAATAGTGTTCAAACATAATACGGATATCTCTAAAATCCATATTTTTGGATTCTTAATGAGCGTAGTACTTATACTAAACACAAAATAGCCTTTCAGATCTATGGAACCACCTCGAATAGTTTATTCACGTGTTTATCAGGACAATACATTTATAAGTGGAAATAAAATATAGTAGATAATCAAGCAGTGATATTTAGAATTCTAGATATTTCAAATCTGCATATCCTAGATTTGCACGATTTATCGTTTAATACTTGAATGTTTTAGACGTAGCATATGTATACCGACCTCCCTCTTTATTTCAGTTTGTAATCGTTAGTTTTAATCACCTGATATTGTAGACTTCTTATCTTAATCACTATCGTTAACTTAAAATATCCTAGCCCCTCTACTCGATATTCTTTGCATCAGTTTTTACCGTGAGTATCTCTCCTTCTCGGAGTCGACTTAATCACTGGTATCCATGTTGTGTACTGAAAACACACACCTTTTAGTACGCCATCAGAAGTGATCACTTCATCATCTCAAAAATCTTTCCTTTATTTTTTTCCAAACCTTTGCGCAGCCACTGTTACGAATTATAGTCTACTAATAAAAGAGTCAAGTTTTAATATATTACAATGTTTCAGCAGTGGAAATATTTGCTCTTTACTTTGAGCTTCTTGTTAGGTAAGTTGATTAAAATAGATGTACACTTATTCTATCGATAGCTATTATTCGCTGTGTACGTAAAGATAGTCCACACGTAAATCAAATAGAACGTTTTTGCAAAATTTGCTACAGTACGTAGTTGATATCCACTTTCTGAGAATCAAGGAATCGCATCGACTGAAACCAAGTAATGTTGAATAATCCATTCCTATTATACCTTAACAACAACGTAGAGTAGAACAAAGAAAACTAGATAACGAAAAATTTCTAAATGTATTAACAAAATTAGTAAGAAATAGAAATTTGATTAGAAATTAGTCTCGATTAAAGTACTCTGCAGTGAGACAAATGTCGAAATATTAATTATATTAAGGAAAAAGTAATTGAACCAGGTATTGGTTAGGTAAGTAAGGTGTTCAAAAGATACGAAAAACACTTGCATAAGACTTGCGTAAAATCTGAATCTTACATCCATCGCAAGTCAACTTCAAATCTACCATAATTAGCTTGCATTAAGATAACCTAAACTGCATAAGACTTGCTCAAAAGACTGACTCATATATAGCGTGTGACTGCCACAGCTTTCAATATGTCTACCAGAGTCTCGTAAGTATTCTTGTGCAAGTCTTACGTCAGGCTAAAGTACGAACTAATTTTTTTTCATTATTCCAAGGTTCATGACATAAATAATGTTATTAAAAGAAGTTGTTTTGATTTCAGGAGTTGGAATTTTTTTCCATCAAATCTACTTGAGTGCTTGGTTATTCATTGTTATTCTCATGTTTATTTTCATTAACTTTTGCCTTAGACTAAGGCAGAATAGAGTAAGTAAAATTTTATTTCTTTTAATTCTTTGTAAGATTTAAACATTTAATAGAGAATTTTTACATAATTTTATGAAATTTTAAAGCTGAAGAACAAACAGGAGGCAGATGCTGACCTCGAGTACTTCGAGAAAGGAGCACCTAATCTGATAAACCCTGATCTCACTGTACACGATCAAGCAGCGCTTCTCCCATACGACATAAAGTGGGAATTCCCCAGAAAAAAAATTGTGTTAAGTATGTATTTATAAAATTATCAGATAAAGAAAATTTATGCCGAAGAAAGGAGCGAAAAATCAGCTTTACAATATGAAATAGGTTAATTTAACTTTGGGATGACAGGAAACTAGATATCTGCGAAATGAAAGTTACAGTTTTACTCTAAAACTGAGTTGTGTCATACACCCTAAAAAGTTGAATTGACCCCTTTTGTATTAGATAAGTGAAATCGACTCCTTCTTCTTTTAAATTGATAAAATGTGTTGATGAAAAACTTATATCTAATTCACAAATTAAAGAGAAACAATTAGAAAATGGACATTTTGGGGCCGTAATGAAGGCGAAAGCTTACGGGATCCGTGCCTATGAGTCCGTTACAACGGTGTCCGTTAAAATAATCCCTAAAAATGCAGATTTATTCTACACTCGTGCCCTGATGAGCGAGCTGAAAATCATGACACATCTAGGAAAGCATTTGAATGTCGTGAATCTTCTAGGTGCCTGTACAAGAAATATCTACAAACGTGAGGATTTATAACGCCAGTTTAAGTAAAAATGACGATAAATTCCTTTAATCTTAGAACCAATTTTACATATTTTAGAGGAACTGCTGGTAATTCTAGAGCACTGTAGATTTGGAAATTTGCAAGATTATCTATTGCATCACCGTAATACTTACATAGATCAAATTGATCTATCTACTGGAAAAATCGATTCATCAATTAGAAAAATCTCAAAGAGGTAATTGTTCTACTAATCAATAACTAAACATATTACGAGATTACATACTTGTCGCATGATTTTATTAAAGAATGATACTCTTTGAATAATGTAATAATGTAATAATAAAATAATTAAAATAAAATATGATGTACATAGCGTTAAGTATCCACAATAATAAAACACAAATTGAGTTGAAATAAGTTAAACTTTAGAAACGAATCTTAAGGGTTGCATATGGTTTTTTTTATTGTTTTGTTATCGTGTTGAAATATGCCACATGGACACTACATAATTTGTCTTCCAGGAATGAGCCCTTCATCCATTGCACTGATAAGTACCCTCTTGATAAGTCGATGAAGCTCAATGATGCCTCTATCTGCGGTGATTCTCAATCAGGTAACATGGACTACAAGTCAATTTGCACCCAGGATCTTATTTCCTGGGCCTTTCAAGTAGCCTGCGGAATGGAGTTTATATCCCAAAGAAAAGTACGTACAAATTTACATGACAAATTTTTTTTTCCTTGTCTGTGTGAACTTTATCGTTTTATTTGTATATTTACACACACGCTCACAAAGGTTGCACACGGTAACTTGGCTGTCAGAAATATTTTACTGGCGGATAATAACATTGTCAAGATTTGTGACTACGGTTTTTCTAAGATAACCTATGAGTCCGACTATTGTAGTAAGAGTAATAAAGGACCAGCACCAACCAAATGGATGTCTATTGAGGCAATCAGGGACGGGATCATCGCTACAATGTCCGATGTCTGGTCGTTTGGTGTAGTAATGTGGGAATTATTTACACTCGCAGAGACGCCTTATTTAGACATGAACGGACAAGATATGTATCGAAATCTGATCATGGGTTACAGGATGGAAAAGCCCATATATGCCAACAATTATATGTGATTATTTACTATTTTGTTTATACATGTTTTTTTAATTCAAAATTTATCTCTTCAGATTAATATTTTAGACCATTTTCTTTTGTTTCAGTTACAATATCATGCTCCGTTGCTGGCAGGCCGAGCCAACTTCGAGGCCATCCTTTAGAGAACTAGTTCGAATCTTGGGCAAGCTTTTAGATGATGACGTAAGAATTTACTTGATGAAGCTAAACCACATTAATGAGAATATTAACAAGTTAGAGGCTTTGGAAGGAAAGAAAGACTATCTAGCCATGATGGCATCACCGGATATTGTTACACATATCCCACCCCAGAGTATCTATATGAACATTGATTTGTCTGGTCGTTATTAATTGAAGAAATTCAACTCTACGACATTTAATATGAAGTTTTAATTACTTGTGTTTCAATAAAGTAATTATAATGATAATTTTAAAAATTTAGAATAAAGCATTATCAAAACCATCTGTTACTTTTCCATTACTACTGCATTCCACAGCAAAATATAAAATTTCTAGCATTCAAATCAAGTATATATACAGCTATTATTTCAACTGCTTGCTACTGAAACTCTTACTGTTATAAACTACAATAAAGTTATCACAGTTCCTCTCTTCTTTCCACGAAATATCTCGGGGTTTTATATTAGTTTAAGGTGTCACTCAACATCTACGAGCATAATATGTCATCAAAATTCAAATCTCTACCTCAATTGTATCTAACGATTTTAAGACACTGTACACAGAGTCATAATCATTACCATTGTCACTGTTATTACGTACTGCATAAACCACAACCCACTGGATATCAAAGTTACCAAGCACTAATAGTAAAAATTGCAGGGTTGAATCTGGAAAAAGTAAAGTTTTCTCATCATCGTGCAAGTAAGCCTTTGATTCTGGATACATGCATACTTTCACATATCTACCTCTATCTCCTCCTGTATCTTTTCCTTAATATAGGTAGACGATGAAGCGCGTCACACTCTATGTTCGATATATGTAGGCTCAAGGGATCTGATTTTCAAAGTTTATATTAAAACTGGTGAATATCTAAGGAAAAATTTCACATTCATCTCATTATTCTCGAACTAACTCATACACACGGACACATGACTGTTCAGGTTAAACATACAAACTAGCGAATGTATGGTATTATTACCGGTAAGGGGACCAAGTACGCCCTGGATATGGAAAATCTGATGAGATACAGACACATGTATCTACGAAGCAGTTGTAAGTGCTTATTATAGCCAGCTAACTATGAGATCGAGACTGTTTGCTGGTTCAATCACTATAACATAAAGGCAACATTTAGTCCACATTAATTTAGGAGGATGATTTGAAGAGGAGGAAAGTCAAGAAAAGATCGCAATATCAAAGCTGTTGATCTATACTTATGTTTGCAAAAGACATGTTTGGTATTACTTTAGATTTTGGTTTTAATTTAATTATTTTAACATGGATTGCAATAAAAAAACTAAAAAATTGTTTACACATACACTTACTGTTTATGAGAAAGGAGTTGATGGTTATTTCGCTCGTGGAAGAAAATTAGCATTCAATGGACTCACCTGGAACAAAAAAATATTGAAACGATGATTAATTTATAGTTAAGTTTCTTTAAAATTTTTTAGCAATATATAACTAAGAAAAATACATGGTTTTTGTAGTAGAAACAAGATAATGCGATATAATATACTTTATGCATTCACTTATCTATTTAAAACGTTAAATTGTCAAGTGGTAGATCACTTTTTTGTTTGTTGGATTGTACTCTTTGTACTCGTAAACATTTTTTTTTTTTTTTTTTTTTTTTTTTTTATGAAATATCATTGATTGTAAATCATTAGGTATTGGTACAAAGATGATACTGCCTTTGAAAGCAAAGATATGGTTTCAGTTTTACAGTTTTACTGTATACATTTAATAAATGTACTGTCTCAAAGGATGATAATTTCAAAAGGCAGTTCTTATAAGAGTATTTTAAATTTTATGGTTTACTTTATAGAGGAATAAATATAATGTAGGATAACTTGGATGGCAACTTTTATCAAAATTGCAAAGATCTACGAAGCAATGGTATGTACATAAAATTATGCCAAAAAACAAGCTATTACGCTATTATTATTACTATTCTTATTATCACCATCACATAATCCAAACTGGCTAAGGGATTCTCTCCTTATTCCTCGCTGTCTCTTCTCCACCTCGTTCGTACAAAGGGGCACATGCCCAAGCCCAGAATACTTCTGTACAAGGAATCGATAAGCAAGTCTACAGTGTGTAACTCAAAAAAAGATAAACCAAAACGGTCGCCCTGTTGCTGCTTCAGCATACACACGCACACAGCTTGTAAGAAAATATCATTGAAACGATGATGTTTCTACGTGCAAGCTTGTGTTGAGTCTTATGTTGGTGGTCTGCGTTTTGTAAGGGTAGGGATTATCGCTCGGTATAATCGATCCCGGAAACGATTGATCATATGTAACCATACTTCCGACTTCCTCATCCGATCCTCATTCGATTTGGGTTCATGTATGTATAGAGCTACTACAAAGATACAAATTTTGTTTTTTGTACCTACATATTTCTGATATTTTCGGTGTAAGCAAACGCACATACACTTTGCTTACTTGTTGGTGAAATTTTTAAGGTTCAGTTACAGTACTGCTAGGTAGAGAATAATTTATTAAATGGGCAAGGAAAATGAAAAAAAAAAGAGTCACAAAAGGTTTAAAAAGTTTCTTTGTTTTAATTACAATTGTAATTCCCTTAGTTCACTTATCTGAGATAAGTACGAGATCCGTGTGTATACGTTCAAAAAGAATAGTAATTATGACTAATTCGTACACATTTCATAAAGTAAATGGGTGCCTATTATTTATTACACTTACTGCCTAATATATTAGATAGAATGGTAAGAAGTGTTTTTTCAACAGAGAACAGATTATTCAATGTTGTATCTCAAAGATACAGAAAAACAGAAATCGTTTCAACACTTCATGACGGACAAATAAACGCGGCCATTAATGATAAATGGTGGATATGAAAATTCGATCTTCACGATCCCCCTACGGACATTTTTCCCCGAAGTATCGCCTATTCGTTTACCCAGAAAGATCAAGAGCGTGTTGTTACGTACTGAGGGATACATGAAATGGTTACTGCACGAGTGAAAGTGAATATCGAGTGAGGGATACTTGTAACTATATAGACCTGAAAATGGAATTACAGAGTGGAGCTGTACGCGAAATTGGCATACGTGTATAGGTATCTGTTGGAACGATGTGGCGTCTCGCAGGGATTGCAAATTGGTAGGAGTAGATAACATAGTTGTGTAGTTCTTCCTTTCCGCAGGTTAACGTGTATGCATGTACCTATACGTATTCTTCTATGTACCTCCAATCTGTCACTTTGTCGCTTATATACCGGTAGGATTGCTGTACGTACTTCATTATCCGTGTACCTACCTACTTTGTACATTTCTGGTGACCATAGCGTACATGCCTACAATTGTAGGAAAGCACATAGAGAAAGAGCTAAGGCTTCGCTGTGCAAGGCGAAAATTGTGGAATCGTGACAGTCGGTACGTAGATTTCAATCAACCGAAAGCGTTGCCTATCAAATTTTCTTCGTGATGTATGCTTTGTTACCAAAGGGGGAGAGAGCTCGATATGACTATAAGCACGTACCTACTTACACAAGTACACAAGGTTAATGCACTCTCTATGGTCTCTACACCCTTGAGAGTATACGTATATTTCATGGAAAAAGCTTTACAATCATTGCAACGTACATTGACTATTGCTGGCAGTTTTATTGCAATTCCATAAATGGATACATACATGTATACATACATCACCACCTGTGCTATGATGTTCAATGGAACTGAATGGTATACGAATGCTATCAACCTACATGCAAGCTATGTACGAGATTAGATAGAATAAACGCATAAAGTACTCATAAATGTTTATATTTTTTCGTTTCGTGTAAAGATTGGTCAGAGCGCAAGTGACGTTTCAATGAAATGCTAAACATTCTGCTCGTACTACAAGTGAGCTGGAAAAAAATTAGGAAACGTGGGACTCAAGTTCACACCAAGAATGTACATCGAACTCTTCAGATTATTCAAGTACTCACTAAGAATGTATTAAATTTAATACCAGTGTGGTTGTAATCCCCTAACAAGAGCTCCCCCCAAATCATAATATCATGAACTAATCACGTACCCGTAAACGTGTAGACCACGATGCGTTTGCACATGAATACGTGAATAAGTTCAAGGTCGACAATTAAGATTTCACATTCTGTGTATGGGTTGGGTGTGCATTTACGGTGCAAAAATGTACGTGTAGGCATGCGTGGATGGAGGAGCGCCCGGAGCAGCTAGCATCGAAATAAGCAGTGGCAATCGTAACTTTCACCGGATTCGCATGAATTGAGTTCGCGCGCCTCGCCGCATCTTACGTTATAGGAGCATGGAGTGTAGGTACAGCCGTACGACGAGGCAAATTGCCAAGCTGTTCCATACAGCAGAAATACAGTTGAGATAAACTGTGCGTAGGTCAGTATGTGGGTCATTTCAGAAAAGCTTCATGCCCTACTTAGCCATTTAATACAGCACCATGAATTGTTGGTACCATTTTTAACTATTATATCATGCATGTTTTTTTCTTTATACACGCTCGAGGATTGAGCAAAGTCTTTTAAATAATCGAAATGTTGGAAAGACATGGTGAAACCTCATTAATTTGAACCTGTCGTGATTTAAAAATTCAAAATTTAATAGTGCACATAGAGGATACTTATCCAAGTTTAGATAACTTTGAAGTGTAAGCTAAGTTATAACGTTCATCTAATGCTGTGACTGATAAGACGTGGTCACATTATCTCTACATAAAGTTTAAAGAACTAAGAAAGAAGAAACGAGATATGTAACATACGTATCTCCTCATCTGAAAAAGTAAGAATCTCACAAAGAGATAATAAGTAGCCATTGAATAAAATTAGCGTGGATTTATATGTGTACAAAATATAAGTACAGTATTATCGATTATATCGAGTACATACCATACGATACACACGGAAAAAAAGGAACAAAAGAGGTACCATAAACTAGATCGTTCCAATGACTTGGAAATCATCGAACCAACTCTATTTCTCTCTTATTCTCGCATCCCTTCTAGGTATGCCCATATATTATGCAATGGAGATCAGCAAGTAATCCCCTCTTTTCTCATGAAACCCATCAATCTAAACAAATAAAATAATGTGACAATAGCAGGCTGGGGTGTCCAACGTATCGAACAAACTGATGATTTCTGGAAAGAAAAAAAAGGCAGATTAGT